CGAATATCCCGTTCCACCACATCCCCAAAGGTGCTCTATTGGATCCTGATCTGGTGACTGTGGAGGCCATTTAAATACAGTGAACTCATTGTCACGTCCAAGAAACCAGTCTGAGATGATTCACGCTTTATGATACTGCACATTATCCTGCTAGAAGTAGCCATCAGAAGACGGGTACATTGTGGTCATAAAGGTATGGACATGATCAGCAACAATACCCAGGTAGGCTGTGGTGTTGACACAATGCTCAATTGGTATTAATGAGCCCAAAGAGTGCCAAGAAAATATGCTCCAAACCATTACACCACCACCAACAGCCTGAACCGTTAATACAAGGCAGGATGGATCCATACTTTCATGTTCACACCAAATTCTCATCCTACCATCTCAATGTTGCAACAGAAATTGAGACTCATCAGACCAGGCCATGTTTTTCGTATCTTCTATTGTCCAATTTTGGTGAGCCTTTGTGAATTGTAGCCTCAGTTTCCTGTTCTTAGCTAACCGGAGTGGTACCTGGTGTGGTCTTCTGCTGCTGTAGCCCATCCGCTTCAAGGTTCGACGTTTTATGAGTTCAGAAATGCTCTTCTGCAAACCTCAGTTGTAACGAGTGATTATTTGAGTTACTGTTGCCTTTCTAATAATAATAATAATAATTCGTTACATTTATATAGCGCTTTTCTGGGCACTCAAAGCGCTTTACACAATGGGGGGGAATCTCCTCATCCACCACCAGTGTGCAGCATCCACCTGGATGACGCGACGGCAGCCATTTTGCGCCAGACCGCACACCACACACCAGCTGATTGGTGGAGAGGAGACAGAGTGATGATATGCCAATCATGATATGGGGAGGGTTAGGAGGCCATGATGGTCAGAGGCCAGTGGGCATAGTTGGCCAGGATGCCGGGGTTAAACCCCTACTCTTTTTCGAAGGACATCCTGGGATTTTTAACGACCACAGAGAGTCGGGACCTCGGTTTAACGTCTCATCCGAAAGACGGCGCTCACTGAGCAGTATAGAGTCCCCGTCACTATACTGGGGCATTAGGACCCACACAGACCGCAGGTTGGGCGCCCCCTGCTGGCCTCACTAACACCACTTCCGGCAGCAACCTAGCTTTCCCAAGTGGTCTCCCATCCAGGTACTGACCGGGCGCAGCCCTGCTTAGCTTCAGTGGGCGACCATGTGAGAGTTGCAGAGAGCTAGCTGCCGGCACAGCCATTCTAACAGCCATTCTCCTCTAAGCCATGGCATCAACAGGGTATTTGTGCCAACAGATATTTTCTCCTTTTCTGACCATTCTCTGTAAACCCTAGTAGATGGTTGTGCATGAAAATCACAGTAGATCAGCAGTTTCTGAAATACTCAGACCAGCCCATCTGGCACCAACAACCATGCCACATTCAAAGTCACCTAAATCATCTTTCTCCCCCATTCTGATGCTCAGTTTGAACTGCAGCAGATTTTCTTGACCATGTCTACATGTCTAAAGGCATGGCGTTGCTGCCATGTGATTAGACGTGTTAACAAGTAGTTGGACAGGTGTACCTAATAAAGTGGCCGGTGAGTGTAAATGTATGGTTTCTTAGTATAGAACAATATTTGGTTAAGATACAAATATTTAGGTACTCCGGTTTCCCCAACAGTTCAAAGACATGCTGTATAGCTGAATTATATTAACTAAATTGGTTACAGTGTATAAGTTTGTGTGTTACTATGAGAGTGTACAGGTGTTTTATTCCTTATTCTGTAAAACATATGCCGGAATGGTTGGCAGTTCATTCCGCTGTGTCGACCCCTGATAAATAGGGGACCTAAGGAAAATGAATGAATGATGAGAAACATGCCTATAAATTTGTCCTAATGCATATTACTAATCAAATTAGTTGAGATATATGCAGGGTATACTGTACATTTACATGTATTTTTTGAATATTGCCAAAAATATATCAGTGCAATATTGACTGGTTTTGTAGTCCAAGCTCACATATGTGTGTGTATCAGTTTGGCTAAGATGTGTCCAAAGTTTTATGTTGTGCCTCCATTTCTAAAGGCATTTTTCTCAAGTTCTCACGGCCGAACCTGAATGTTTATTATGCGTACAAATTGAAATAGATTTCCACTAAACTGCTACAACCTGCCATCTGTTTCCCTCCATCTGTTTGTGAATGTTTCTCAAAAGCCCTCCAGAGCAAAATACCAATAATTTGCATCAAAGTGTAAATCAACTTCCCCGTATTTCCACAAATAAAAAAATAATCCTTTTTCCTTAGAAACATTTACAAAAACAAGGAAATAAATAAAAAGGGTTCACATTTAGATTCACATTCTGATCATTTATTTGATCCACAGTGTCACCTGCACAGGTTGTGTAAGTCACAGACATGCAAACTGACAAAGCCGGTCAATTTGCTCTCTCACACAAATATCAAAGGTGCTGAAATCATCTCCAGATGGACAGCTGTTTACTATGCCCACCATTTCCTGCATAAATAAAGCAGTCAAGGACACACACATTGAGGCTATTGAACAGAAAGCAGCATGTTTCACCTAAAATCAATTAGCTTTACGATCAATTAGCTTGTTTTTGTGCTTTTTCAGTACTTATAACTGTACTTCACTGGTGTGAATCATGTAAAAAGCTGAATGTTTGTGCTTTAAAAGGTTTAATGCCTGAATCCTTGAGCCAAAATGTGAACAGTTTGTTTGTGAAATGCTATTTTAAATGTCACACGTGATTTGTGCCTTAGATTAAGATTTTAGCTCAAGAATGGCTACAGTTTTAGGCAAACGTTTACATACATCTTGTAGAATCTGTTATGTTTATTATTTACATTTAAAGTAATATTTATCAAAATAAGAGTGATCATCCAACATGCATTTTATCCTTTATTTAGTCCTGATTTTATGAAAAAAGTGACCCCTATCAAAACTTTCCTACATTTTATTTTTTGTAATGCTGTGTAACGTTGTTTTTTTTAGTTCATGAGTTGATATTCTTTAGACAAATCCTTCAGGACTTAAAAATTCTTAGGTTTTTCAGCATCTCTTCTGTATTTTAATCTATTCCATAGCTAATCCATACCCCCCGGGGAGGTGGAAAGGGGGGAGGGGGTGGAACTTGGTGATTTCCAAAAATCTTAAATATGTTTTTAAACTATTGTAATTATCATATTTTATCCATAACCTACAGAAGATAATATTATTTTAATTCAATTCCCATTTATTTATATAGCGCTTTTACAATGTAGATTGTGTCAAATCCGCTTAACATAGAAATTCTAGTAAAGTCCAATTAATATGTATAATAGAAAAAATATTTAATAGTTACATGAAAACAAAACAACATGCAAATAAAAAGCCATCAGATTTTTTTTCCATTGGATTGTGACCTCTGGGGTTATTATGCTAGATTAAAAACACAGCAATAGTGTTAGTTGAAGCAGATTAATTTAAGGGCACAATGTTAAACTTTTGAAACCTCCTACGGCACTTACATACATAAAAAATAAAGGCCTCGACTGAACATGGAGTATGACGGTTGTCTTGTGCTGTAAACATTGTGCCCAACAGTCTCATCACTTAATCTCAAGTGAGGTTAATTATAAATTAAACAAATAGATTATGACTGTTAAAAAAAGTATGTGGTTGTTAGATTGTTGCAATTTTTTTGTGTCAATATGCTTGTGTTTATATAGACCATTTCAATGTGCTCATGTCTTTTGCCTGTAAACATTTCCTGTTTGCTATCAAACTATTTCATAACTGTAACAAGAGGCAATCATAACTTAATGTTAAAACAGTTATCATAACATTATTTATCAATATGTGGCTCCTTTTGGATTCTTGAAAGCTATTAGGGTTGGGTCGATAGACGATGCCAATATCCCTCGCCGATGGCCGATAGACATCACAATGCTAAGCCGGCATTGCGATCCTTCGTCCTGCCCCTGTCGAAGAAGCAACCTGCTCGTTTAGCGTGTCTGAGCTCCAGCAGTCAGTGGGTGCTTTGAACACAAAACCCCAGAGAGCAGTGCACGTCGGACAGTTCATCACGGATGTACCGCTGGATCTTTGTGTCTCACTATAGTTCTTAGACGTGATATTTAATTAATCTTGTCTCCATCTAACCACTCTTCTGTCTTTTGAATCTATCAGGTAACGTTTCACAGAGTCAGTAATCTACTTTAGTCTTTTGCTTTCAGGCTTGTACTTATTCATTTTAGCGAAAACCTCATACTGTTGGTTGTGCACCTTTTTTACCAACCAAGTTTGTCATCGCCATTATAACGACACAGATCACTCTGCCTATTCATGCCAGAGTCCCGCGGAAAAAGTGATCGTCAGGTGGTAATTTGTGAAAACAGTGAGCTACAAAAAATGTATTTGTTATGAATTTATTATTTATTCATAAATGACTAATTAACAACCGCCTCCAACGACGATGCCATCGTCCATCGCGATGTTTCCCATTAGACATCATATGATGCCAAATTGGTCGACATCGCCCAACCCTAGAAGCTATAAAAAATTAAAAATGTAAAACAGGTAATAAGTTGGGACCCTTGTTTTTGTTTACATCCCTCAAAATAGTCTATAGTTCCTATTGGTGTGTCTGTAATATTTGTATGTTTATAACCACCTCCAAGCACAGTAGGGGTGTAAGTCACTGTAATTGCTATTTTAGGGGTCGCGTGTTGAAAAGTTTGGGATATGCTGCCATAAATGACTCAATAATTTTGAAAGAAGTTCAAACTCCAGAAGACAACAAAGTACATTAAGGTGGGTGAAAACTTTTGAATAGAATATATTTTTCATATTTTTGCCTAAATATCTCTTTTCTTCCATTCAGTACTGCACTTCAAAAAGCTACAGAAATGTTTCACTGAAGACGAAAGTTAAATTACCCTAAACTTCAAATTCCAAAAGTTTTCACCCTCCAGCTCTTAATGCATCCTGGAGCATCAGTGAACATTTGACTCCATCACATGGAATATTTGTAAGCATTTTTTATATGAAATTTCTTATTCAGGTCAGTTCTAATCAAAATTAACTTGCATTTTCTTTGATCTCTCTTATTTTGCAGATTCTGCTAGATGTAAGTAAACTTTTGACTTCTGCTGTATTTATTTTGCAGTCACAGTTATATGAGACGAGCCAGACTTGATGCAGTCTCTCGTCTCCCCTGCATCTGTGCTGAAATACTGAAGACTCGCACTGTCCTTTCCCAGCGTCTCTGTCCCGGCCCTGTCCTCTCCAAGAAGAAAGCTACTGCAGCGTAAATTCCAACCGCAAACACTGTAAAACTCCCTCCAGCCAGCATCACCACCCCGGATATATACATGTCATTGAGTGCCTTGCCAGGTTTGGGCATGTGGTACGCCAAGGCCATATCCAGTAGCACAGCGCCACAAATAAGCAGAGAGGCTCCTGTGATCAACATAATGAGGATGTCCGACAAACCTCCGCTCTTTAGCATGTTGATCCGTCGTCTGCTTCTCACGCAGTTCATGTCTTGGACGGCGGAACTTAACAGCTGCTTTAGTAGGACAGCCAGAGCGAGAAGACAAAGAGCGGTTCCCGCACCCAAACGCCACTCGCTGGACAAGCTGGTGGTGGTGGAGAGCAGGCCGACGCCTCCTAGGCCGCAGCCCAAGATCAAGGCCACCGAGGCACAGTAGCATAATAGGGATTTGCGAGGCTCACTGAACCACCAGAGCTCCACCTGCTCCTCCAGGAGGTTCTGCTGGATGCGGGCCGGGTCAGGATGAGGGTGGCCTCTCGGAGGAGAGTAATCCTCCATCTCTGACATGATGTTCCGCTGGTGGGGCAATGAAGATGGGCTCCCAGTTGTGAGAGGACACCTGGTTAGAGTTCCTGGAAGAAACATGTTGGAAATTAGGTGAGAAGATCAAGGGAAATAATCTTTGTAAAAAAAATAAAAATTGAATAGAAGTTCACAGTAAACATTCATGTGAAAACATTTTAGTCATGAGAAGGCATTTTGGTGTTCAAAAATAAATATTGCATTATTTCATTAATATTAACAATGTGATTTATCAACCTATATTACAATAGATTATTCTGTAAAAAGTGATTACACGGTAAAAAATGCTTATTTCCTTCATAATGCCCAGCACAAAGCGATTAAATAAACTTAAAATTTTTTTTTTTTTTTTTTTTACAAATTTGCTAATTTATTTGGATTCAGCATAAAACTATTAGATTGTTCCAAAAACAGAGGCAAAGTGGGTAGCACGTTCGCCTCACAGCAAGAAGGTTGCTGGGTTGCTGGTTCGAGCCTCGGCTCAGTTGCCGTTTCTGTGTGGAGTTTGCATGTTCTCCCTGCGTTCGCGTGGGTTTCCTCCGGGTGCTCTGGTTTCGCCCAAAGACATGCGGTACAGGTGTAATGGGTAGGCTAAATTGTGTGTGTGTGTGTGTGTGTGTGTGTGTGTGTGAATGAGTGTGTGTGTGGATGTTTCCCAGAGATGGGTTGTGGCTGGAAGGGCATCCGCTGTGTAAAAACTTGCTGGATAAGTTGGCGGTTCATTCTGTGGTGGCGACCCCAGATTAATAAAGGGACTAAGCCGACAAGAAAATGAATGAATGAATGTTCCAAAAACAACTTAAGAATTGTGCTGTTTCAACTAATTTAAAATAACAAGCAGAAAAAAGTAATTTATCTGAGTGTAGTTTATTTAAAAAGTGAGTTTACACTTTGCTTTTAAAGTAATAAAGTTGACCTTATTTTAAAAAACAAGTAAATATATTGCCCTAAAATAAAGTAAATGAACTATATGCGGTGATGCAGTGGCGCAGTAGGTAGTGCTTTGGCCTCACAGCAAGAAGGTCGTGTATGGATGTTTCCCAGAGATGGGTTGCAGCTGGAAGGGCATCCGCGGTGTAAAGACATATGCTGGATAAGTTTGCGGTTCATTCTGCTGTGGCGACCCCAAATTAATAAAGGGACTAAGCCAAAAAGAATATGAATGAATGAATATGCATAATTGTTAAGTTACAATTGGTTTACTCGCTTTAAGTAAACATAACTTGTTGCTTTAAAGACAACAGATTTACTCACTTTTTTTTTTAAACAATTTTTTTTCTAAACTATTTTTACAGTGGATACACACTTAAGATAATTACCATACATATCATATATCTTTTACTTTCAAAAAACATAAAATGTAGTGTTTGCGGGCTTTCTGGAAATTTACTTTCACTATAAATTGATAATACAAAATTATCGCTTTACTTAATCTTTTTTCTTACCAGATTTTACAAAGTCCAGTTTTCTTTTTTAATATATTTGGTTATGTAACGTACAAATAACCAATTAAAAGTTTTTTTTTTTGTTAAATTCTGTGTTATCTGCTTTTTAGTTTTTTTTTATAATGTATTAGGAATACACACACACACACACGCACGCACACACACACACACACACACACACACAAACATTGCTCAGCATGTATAAGTGCACCCCTCACAAATCTATCTTTTAAATTAATATTTTTTAATAGGAAGCTAAATAATCTTATATTTGTGCATATACATTACATTAGTAAGTACTAAAGCCAAATCTGGAGCTGATCTAACAAAATAACTCACGATACAGTCCAAAAACTAGTGCACCTAAATTTATGTTATATAAAAATATTAAATACAAATAAAAAAAAAAGAGGAAAAATCTAGAGAAGCAAAAAAATTGAATTTTTTTTTGTTGAAATTTTGTAGGTTGTAATTTATTTTTGCAATATTTAGCTTGAATTTAATTGTATTATCGTTCAATTTCTAAATATGTTTGGTGACTAAAATATTATTTTAATAAATATATATGTTTAATTATTCTGATTGTATAAACGCACCAAAATACATTGACTATAATCACTGAGAAACGGATAAAAATATTCATATTTATAATGGCGAGTATACAATTAGGCTGAACACTGTACTGTATATATCACACTGAATATTTATATATAGCTCCAAGTGTCTTGAAAGTGTCACATGCACAATCAGTCACTAGGCAAAAAAAGAGGTATGTTGAAATGCACATCACTCTGAGTCCTCCCTGTTATATGCAAACTCTTTTAAAATATGTGAGAAACTCCATTCTGAAACAAGACCAAGCAGCTTTATCTACAAATCTGTTAAATAAAATCAGTAAACTTTAAGAGCAAACGCCTCAAGGTTTGCTTTAATTTAAAACTACTGTTTAGTTTAAAGCCTGTTAATGTGGCTATTAAGGACAGCCATTTGGATTCCTGTTGAGAGAAAATAAAGATTTTAAATAGTGAGAAAGACAATTTCCCTCCTGCTCATGGGCTGAAGCCTTAATTCCTTCACAAATGGCCTGTCTCTGTGGTCCCCGTGACCCTCAAGGTTGCAGGACAGACAGCTTGTCTTTACAATCCTGTAAGTGGCTTTGGCTTCGTAGTCAGCACTGCTGCACCAGCAAACTGCATCTGCTCTTAAACTACACTGCATACATTATAATCAAGGGCCAAGGCAAGCTCTTCTTTTCATCCAGAACCCGTGTGTCATTATTTTGCACTGTTTGTTTAAAGTCAGTCACCTCACACATGTGTGGCCACAGGGGTTGTGTACATGTACGTTTCTGAAGCTTTGATAATTAAGTCTCTGTGGACCTGAGTCTCCTACCGCTGACATACTGCTTCTTTGCGACTGAGGTGAAGCATGAAAAGGGAATAGTGAAATCAAGAAAGCCCATGAAACTAAAACTCCAAAGTCAGTGAAAAGACTACTGTATAATGATTGTTAAAATAATAGTTCACCTGAGATGAAAAATCTGTCATTTACTCGCATTCATGTAGTTTCAAATACATATTGTATAGATCCTGGTTTGGAACAAAAGACAAGGCATTTTACTAATAAAAATGTTTATATATCTAAGGATAGTTGAACAATAAAAGTTTAAAAGATGGAAATGGCAAACGAAGAGCATCAAACACTGTTGTTTCCTTGTTCTCATGTAAATCCTGTAAGTTTAAAAGTTCAATCTATCAGAACAAAATGGAGACTAGTACGTTGTCACATGCTGTGTTCACACCAAACGCGGAACAAGAAATTAAATTGTGCTATTTGTACGTAAACATTTTGAGTTCACTTGCTTCATTCACTCGTCAAATTCACTTTGTAAAGTTTATTTATAAACTTGTTTCGAGAGGATCATGTGCTTATGATTGCTTGCAGCCAGTCCCGCATTATTCAATTCATAATTCACCAATCAGACGATTCCTAAGCCACTATAAATACCCTAAGTTCCATATGACAGCCATCTTCGTTTGGAAGCATCTCTCCTCCACCCCTATCCTCCTCCTTTCCTAGATGTGTGGAACGATGGCCCAGTGGTTAGCACAGTTGCCTCACAGCAAAAACATCACTGGTCTAGTCCATACCAAGCTAGCCAACGTTTCTGTGCGGAGTTTACACATTCTCCCCCGTGCTCACATGGGTTTCCCCCTTTTCCTCCCACCATCCAAAAACTTGCAACTTAAGTTAATTGACTAATCCAAATCTGCACCATAGACATGCTTTTAGTAAGTAGTTATCTCTAAAGAGCAATCACTATCTGTTCCTTAGCTACTACAGCAAGAGTGTTCTTGAGATCTACCTGAGCTTAAACTCCCGTCTCGCCTTGCAAAAGGGAGGAAGCCCTGGGCTTGTGGATCTTATGAGCTCAGGGCTCTCTCCCAGGACAGCATGCCAAGCAAGCTTTATAATCAATCATCAGCTAAGTGTGAACTCTTGAAACAATAGATGCGGATTTGCGTCATGGGCTAGGTTTCTGTCTGCCCGGTGACTCTAGCTTCATTGCTAAATGGCTGATGTGGATTTAATTGAGAGAATAGCTGCGTTCATGTGCTTTAGGAAGGATGAAAGACAGCGTTGATTCGTTTGGCGCCATGTCTTCATGAGTCCACTAGATCCATTCAGAGGTGCACCCAGCTCTATGAGTTCATAAACTCCTCCAGAAACTATACCTGGATGATGGAAGCTTTCAGCAGTGCTTCTGACTGAGCCGAGGCCAATTTAATTTTGGGGGTCGCGGGCTCAAAAGTTTGGGAAGCCATGATCTAAGCCACATACCTTTCATTTATTTATTTTCTTTTAAGCTTAGTCCCTTTATTAATCTGGGGTCGCCACAGCGGAATAAACAACCAACTTATTCAGCATATGTTTAACACAGCTAAGGCCCTTCCAGCTGGTTCATATGAAACATCCATACACTCTTGCATTCACACACATACACTACGAACAATTTAGCCTACCCAATTCACCTATACCACTTCTTTGGGCTTGTGGGTAAACCGCAGCACCCGGAGGAAACCCACGTGAACACGGGGAGAACATGCAAACTCCACACAGAAATGCCAACTGACCCAGTCAACGTTCGAATTGGCTATTATGCTACCCACTGTGTCACCGTGATGCCAAGCCACATGACTACTATGTAAATATCAGAGAAAAATCTGACTTATTGATTCAGTGCACACTGTGCGCAATTACTGCATTTAGATTTATTTACTGTGTTAAACAATTGGATTCTCATGCAAATCATATGGAATCAAGGGCTAAAAATTATTTGAAAATTTGACAGTATTTCTTGTCAAAAATTATACTCCCAGTTGGTAAAATAAAATCTTGATGTGTAAACAAATCATTCTTTTGACTGATCTTAAGTAAGCTTGAATGATTTGTTCAGACTGATCCAGTTTATTTCAGCACTCTGATTCATTTGGGGTTTATCTTTACTGGAACATTATCAGTGAGCAACAACTAAAATACTGGCTATGACATGATATGATTTGGAATATGCACGTCATATGAACCAGTTTATGATTCTTTTATCATGCTTTAAAAACTTGAAAGATGCAGTAAAAATCTTGTTTTTGTGATAAAAAAAATGAACAAATTAAGTATAAGAGTCATAAAAGTAGTACATAAGACTTTTGTTATATTCCAAACAGACAAAAGAAACTCATAAAAGTGTGGAACCACTTGAAGATGAGTAAACAACTAGTCAATTTTCCTTTTTGGGTGAA